GGCTGTGGCTTACCCGCAACCCTGAATTGGAAGATGGATTGTGAGAATTGTTTCAACCTCAATGAGAAAGTGCTTTTAAGCCGAGTACTCTACGTAGTCATTTTCCCAGTACTGGCAGCATGGTCTCTCAACCTGCAGGGCTTATTTTGAAGACAATGTGATTGCTTAGATCTCTTTGGGATCTGTTTGATTTCTAGTCACACAGCCAGCGATATTTACTCCGAGTTTTTAGTCCACAATTGATCAATTCTGGCTGTCGGTAAGAAATAAAACCATATTTCGATTCTGAGAGCCGGAGTTATTAGAGGTTAATGGATCGATTATAAAGTAAGTTTAATTTAAATGTATATGATGCACATTATTCATCTTCCAAAAAATTGTATAAAAACTTTATTTTGATTATTTGAATTCATTTAGATAAGTAAATGGGTCTCTAGACAGTTTTTAGCTTTCACAGAAAGTTATATTTTTATTTTTTTAAAGGTAAACATCTTTCAGGCTTATTATTTCTCTTGGAGTGGTGTCAGCACCATTTTTCTTTGATTATTTTGTGGTCCTTGCCGTTCCATTCTTATCGGGAGGCAAAAATTGTATTTTATTCACAAACAAAATTTCAGCGAGTAGTTAAGAACATTTTAAGGAAAAAGTGAAAACGCAGCTGTTTATGAATTCTGGAACTCCATCCTAGCCTGGGATTCTTTGTCTGGAATTAGTGTATCAGCAGCAGACATTTCTCGTCTGCAAGTTCTAGTCAAAGCTTCTTCTGCTCGCGTGTATTTGGAGTGAGCTATGTAAGTTAAACACACGGCAGAAGTAAATGGAGCTCAGTGTGGGTTTACTGTCCCAAAGGGATGCGTTTCCTTAGTGGCGGGATCAGTTTACGTTGTGTCGGCTGTGCTGCCGTGTGAGTGGGAGAGCAGAGGGGCTCAGTTTTCCAGGAAGGCACTGTTTCTTACATACGCACCCACGCAGGAAAGTTATCCTGCAGACACCTTTCAACTCCGAGATTTCCACTGAGCTAAGATGCAGGCCAGCTCAGTTAGAAGAGGTGTGTTTATACACGAATGTCAGCCGTCTCTTCCGGGCAAAACTTTTGCTTTTTTTCCTCGTGTCAGACTTTTTTTTTCCTCTGCGTCTTCGCAGTGGAGTGGAGACCCCAAGTTAAAAGCTGCTTAAGTTCTGTTTCTGTTTCCTACTGGCAGTGGTGAGCAGCAAAGGCTTATGGGCGGCCTAGGGCCTGTGACTTTTCTGAGCAGCTCTGATGACTGTAAACCAACTGACGTTGAAAACGCACAGAAGTCTGCAGGAGGCTCTGGATTCCGGCCTTGTTTTCCACAATATAAATGATTTGCTTTAACAGTGTTTCTGTTAACACTGCAAACGGCAAGAGCTCAGTGCTCAAGGAGAAACATTTTCTGAATTGCTTCCAAGAAGGTTGGGGATTGGTTAGGATTGTTACCTTGCAGCGCTGGGGCCTTCAATCCTGGGGCGCTATATGTGTGGAGTTTGTAAGTTCTCCCCATGTTTGCGAGGGTTTCATCCCACAGTCCAAAGACAAACCAGTAAGCCAACTGGCATCTGAAAAAAACAGGCCCTGGTGTGAGCCTATGAGCCCTGTGATGAACTGGCGTCCCGCCCAGGGTGTATCTCTCCTCGTGCTCATTGCTTGCCAGGATAGGCTCCGGCTCTCCGGTGACCCTGTACTGGATCAGTGGATTTGAAAATGGTTAGACGATTCTCCATGGAGGTTTTTGTTTAATGATCAAATAAAAGGCCCTGCACTACAGCCTGGCCCTTGTAGTGAAGTGGACAGGAGACCAGCATTGATTGCAAGTCCAGAGTTTTGAGTTGTAATCGCTGTGGATGTTTCTGTTGGAGAAATTAACCTGTACTTTTTTCTTTTTCCAATAAACGGTTAGATTGGGTTTAAATAATGAAAATCTGTGCAGTGTGAAATTTCATAACAGAAATGGATGTTGCGGTGGCTCTGTGGCTACTCCGTTGGGCCCCTGAGCAAGGCCCTTAACCCCAACTGCTCCAGGGGCGCCTTATAAAAATGGCTGACCCTGCGCTCTGACCCCAAGCTTCTCTCCCTGTCTGTGTCTGTGTCTGTCTCTCATGGAGAGCAAGTTGGGGTACACGAAAAGACAAATTCCTAATACAAGAAATTGTATATGGCCAATAAAGTGATCTCTTAAAAAGAATTGTTCTTTTATTGGAGGCAAACTTGTTTTATATAGTAGATGCTTTGTTATAACTTCTCACTTCATTTGCTTAATTTGAATCACTTCAACAAGCTTCGCTTGGAATGTGCCTTGAAGCTGTGACAAAAGTCTCAGTGACTATGTTCTGAATAGCTTGGCTTCCTAGTTTCTAATTTGAAACTATATTCTTTGTCTCCTGCCACTCCAGTTTTATCCAGGGATACTACTCTGAGGAAAAAGGAGTGCATTCACGTTTCAGTAAATATTTCTAAAAGATGATCCATCACTCATCAAAAGAAATTGTTCGATTGTTTGCGTATTGTTAAGACTTTATGGATGCTGGGCTTGGAGTCTAGATAACATTCCTGCTTGTCAAAGGAATTGGAAGACCTTCAATTATATTAATAAAATAGTAGCATATCATGGAACTCGCATTCTTTATATTTGTGCCCTTTGTCTTAAGATGTATCCCTAAAACCTCTCTTCCTTGACACGGCGCATGTAGGTTTGCTGGAAGCATCTACATTTTGCCAATTCTATCCCGCTAAGGAGAATCAATTGCTACAAACTGAAATAAGCCTTCCTCTCTTTTTTTCCAGAGTCCGAAATCGGCACATAAGAAGAAGGGGAAAGGGAAAGCTCTGGCTGGAAGAGGGGAGTGTGGAAATACGGAGCATCAGAGTGACCTGGCGCGCCAGCCCAGCAACCCTCCACCAGACGAGTACGAGCAGGACACCTCGGACGAGGAGGTAAGGAGATGGCCTCCGCTTCTCTGAGCGTATCCCAGGGGGCAGAGATCAGCACTCGGACTGAGAATACGATTGCGTGTCCAGCACGCACCTCATTCCCTGTAACATAAGAACAGCACACGTTTGTCTGCTTTAAGGGGAGGAGCTCTCTTTTCATGTCCACCCTGGACTTTATAAACGCCTGGCACTCTTATTTACAATCTTGCTAGTGCCTATACACATGCTACAAGAGAGGATGAAGTTGACGTTTCACCCTGATGCTCTGTTCTCTGAACAGCTGAGCAGCTGTGAGGTCAGACTGAAGAAACTGCAGTGGTTTAAAGACTGCACTAACGCTGCCGTACTTAACATGCAAAAAGATGGCAGTGTTTTTCTTTGTAATACTTTACACACTCTTGCAATGTTGGAATGGAGCTAACAAATGGTATAAAGAAGTTTGTGTTTTTCCTGAATGTAGAAGTTAAGTGGTGCTGCTGTTAAAGTGAGATTTCGGATTGCGTCTCGATATGTTACAGCAGTGCTTTGCTTGCCAGTGACTTTGGATTGTACCTGGTAGCCCACCTTCAGAGAATTTTTACCGTAATTTTTTTTTTAAGTTGAAGATCTAATGGTGTATAAAGTTAACTATGGAATATATTGATATTGGGGAAAAAAATTGTCAAATATAGAAAATCTGATTCCTAGTGTGTACTAACTGAATTTAAATTAGTTCAAAATCAATTATATAAATCAAACCATATTAAAGGGCTAATATAAACCTGTTCTTATATTATGTTAGTTTATTTGATTCCCCCAATTATTTAATATTTGGACATTTTAAAAATAAATGCCTTTAAGAAGGCAATTTTGAGTGATTTCCAAATCTAAATGCATGTGCTTCTTAGTTCAGAGGCTTTTCCTTTTCCATACTTTTCCTGAAAGGACCACATCACAGAATGTGGCCTTGTGACCTGTAGCAGACATCTAATTATCCAGCTGTTCGCTCAATTACCGTTCAGATAGACAGTCGTGTCAAGGTCACGTTTAACGATGCATTTGATCCTGAGGTAAGAGCAAGTGTTCTGTAATTCCAAAATGACAGACGCGTGTTTGCGTTTATAAAGCACTTAAAATTTTTGGAAAACAACTGAATTAGATTTATTGAATCTGTGGGTCCTGACAAGAAATTCGAGGTATTTGACAATATACTGATAGGTTAATACAAGCCGTTAAACCGCTAGTACAAAGGTGCATGCACATAAAAAGTATACTACTGTTTGTGTTAGGTATATTAGAATATTTTACTGTAGCTCAGAGATAGTGCAGCAGCGAGTACACCTCCTGAAAACCGAGGCAGTACCAAGTGTAGACAGTATTTTGGAACATCATGCAATTGAATTATAATGAGGCGGCTATAGACCTTTCTAGTAAGTTAGCGGATTTTTTAAAAATTTGTTTCTAATTACATACTGTGTAAATATACCCCTTCTCCTAGCGGAGTATAACTCAACGTACATAAATCTGACTTTACGCAAAACCTCCCAGAGGTTCACAGATTTTTGGGTCACGGAAAGTCCACGTTCGCTCACGTGAAAAGCAAGCCTTGTGGTTAGTTCCTTCCGTAGGGGAATATTGCGGAATAAGGGTAGGGCGGCTGCCACCGGCATCCGTCCGCGCTCCATTTCACTCTCCCTCTCACTTTGTTCTCCCGCACAATGCGATGCCACCCCGTGCTTTTTCACTGGAAATTGTGAATAACCCACGTGATTCCAGGGGTGCCCTGGTAATGCCAAGATGTCATGTGTGATACCTTTGAGCAGAAAATTAACAATAATCCTAATAATCCCCATCTGTGAATTGACTTCATTACTCTGCTCTCCTCCCCACTGATAGCTGGTGTGTGGTGAGCACACTGGCGCACTATGGCTGCCGTCGCATCATCCAGGTGGGGCTGCACATTGGTGGTGGTGGAGGGGAGTCCCCATTAAAAAGTGTTTTGAGTGGAGTGTCCAGAAAGGCATTATATAAGTGTAAGGAAATATTAATTATTATTAATTCAATGTGTATCTTGTGTTTAGTTATAGAACAGTAATAATAATTAATTAATAACGCCGGGGTTACACCCCTACTCTTTTTGAGAAACGCCCTGGGATTTTTAATGACCACAGAGAGTCAGGACCTCTGTTTTACGTCTTATCCGAAGGACGGCGCCTGTATACAGTATAGTGTCCCCATCACTATACTGGGGACACTATACTGTGCATAAGTGAGCACCCCCTGCTGGCCCCACTAATACCTCTTCCAGCAGCAACCTTAGTTTTTCCCAGGAGGTCTCCCATCCAGGTACTGACCAGGCTCACACCTGCTGAGCTTCAGTGGGTTGCCAGTTGCGAGTTGCAGGGTGATATGGCTGCTGGCTGTACAGTGTAGGTTTATGACATGTACAGGACAGGACTTGATATATAAATGTATTAAAAAGAATTTCTCTGCAATGTTAAATTTGATTATTTACTGTTATCTTTAATTGTATGCTGCATGTGGTGTTTATTGAAATTGTAGAGTTGATTTAGTGCCCGTGTACAGTAGAATATTGTAGAAAGCAGTCCCATCCGAAAGCCGAGCTGTCTTTCTAGATATTAGAACATTCTTTTTCAGCTATTTAATTGACAAGGTTCATGGAACGTCTTTCAACCAGAAAATGCTGTGGTTTAAATAATTTACCAGGCCATAGAACCTAAAATATCGACCATGCAAGTCAGTTTCTGGCTGTTTACTTTGGAACAGTGAATTATTTAAGTTAGTATTGTTGTTGGGATAGCCTAAGATATGCTAAAACGTGTGGATTAAATGCCCTGTGGAAATTATATGGAGCCCAGCTGAAATGAAGAGTGCAGTATCATGGCAGCCATGTTATAGAATCATCACATGCATTTGATGGGCCCAGGGATTTATACTCTGGGTTCAGTTAAATCTTATCTTTTTACTAATTTATTAACAACATAGTCTTCTGTTACTGTGGTCGTGTTTATGAGGGGAGAGGTCTGCGAGATTGGTGTTAGTTTTGTGGAGGATGGTAAGGAACAGACCCCTATCAGGACAGTGGGATCAGTTATTATTATCCCGCAGTGAGACACTGGACACCTCGTGAATTTTGTCCTGAGTCCTGGCTCATGCCAGGCTGCTGTGTTGACCAGTTTCTGCTGCTGCTGCTGCAGCAGACTACGAGCGTCTTGGGATATATGGCCCGTGACTGCCTGAAGGAAAACTGAGAAACTTCCTTTTAAGAAGTAAAACTAATGCAAACCTGACATGGAATACATTAAACTTGATTTGAATCCACCAGTGTCGTCATGGTACTGAAAAGATAAACATTTCTGCGGTTTCCGTCTTGAAATTTTATTTTCAGAGGATTTATTATTTGAGCTTTTGCCATAGCAAAGTGTTGGGAGACCTTGGTGCAAATAAGATCAAATGGAAAGATAGGTGGTCTTTAACCTTATCTTTTTCGGTGATCTTGCAAAGTTTCCAGTTTCCTCAGTTGAGTAGCACAGATTAAAAATGTTAAGGCATGTGTGGTCATAGTATACTCCAGCATGTAGGCTTAATGGTGGTGGTCCTGAGCCATTTGGCTTGTATTAAATTAGCCCCCCGCCTGCATACACCAGATAGGGTTGCCTCTGTGCCGTGAACGGCCCTGAGCAGACGTTGTCTACAAATAAAGCTCTGCAGAGTTTAAAACGCTCTGCGTTTTTCCTTTGCAATAAAGGGCCATTTCCTGCTAGCAGATTGAAAGGGAATATGTGAGACTGTAGTGTCTGTCCTAAGGCTCACTGGGAGGAAGAGGTTTTTCTCCACAATGACTTTTCCATGTGGAGTGCGAGATGAATGAAGACACATTGTGGAATAAAAAAAAAAAAGCCCTGGCTGCAGTTCTAAACCAGCTTCCTGCCCTGCGCTGCTACTGACCTGAGACTTCACAGTGCAGGAGAACTCAATTCAGTAGCTGCTGCAGAGGGGAAGAGGTGGGGGGGAAATCGCGATCACAAATACACAGCAGGCAGCCAAGTTTTTAACAAGTTAGAGTGAAACTGGGCTCCCTCTCCGTTTGGAACCAGTTCATATTCATCCGAGGTTCAGGACACGATTTCTTCCAGATCAGTCATTTGCCCGTGTGCTTGACAGGTCACAGACAAATCGTATGTGTCTGGGTACAGAGCAGAGAGTCGGAGAAAGATTCCTCAGGGACAGGATTGATATTTAGTTTTTTTCTTCCTCTCAGAATGTCTTTTTTTTCCAGCCTGTGTGTTCTTACCAAAGCTACGGTAAATGTTCCCAATGATGTAAATTTAGCTACAGTGCAAAATGAGACTGATAAGCAATTCCATTGTCTCATCTGTTGCTTGGGGTGTAAGATGCCTGCCCGCTCAAGTAGGTGTTGAGTTTTGGGACATTTTACAATTGGAATTCTAATCAGGGTCCAAATGAAACAAAAGTGTATTCATTATTAGGATTTGAAAAAGGGAAGAGCAACTGTTACATCCCAAAGAGCTTTCGGTACATAATAGATCTCTCGCTATACAACTCCCTAAATACCTGTTCTTTTTTTACATACCAGTTATTTTCTTACAGTATGTTGCTCGAATCAGCTCTTCTTTTTACCTATAAAATAGAAGACCTGGTTTTCCTATAAGGAGAATATCTCCCCCTGACAGAGCTTAACTAGTATTGTAATTTATTTCTGCTTTTATCCCCTCTGTATTTGTAATAAATAATGAATCCTTGCATTTGTATAGTCCAGTTCATCTCAAAGGATCCCAAGGCACCTTACATACTGTATAGCAGGGAACCCACTTTATCCTCCACAGAATTGCAGCACCATATGGGTGACACCCAGCATCCAATGTACGCCAGACAGATCCACTACCCAGTAGATCACAGAGATGTGAGAAGGTGCTTCGTTTGTTGAGTTGAGGAGTAACTTGAGTGTTAAAACATATAGGGGAATTTAGACAGAATAGCAG